ATATATATATATATATATATATATATATATATATATATATATACAATGCTGTATATATATCGCGTAAATAAAAATGATGTCTGTCGCATATTCTATATATATATATAGTGATAATGCGCACGCGATTGTTTGCATGGCAAATCGTTCGCTGCTGTTTCATACGTACATTTCGAGTCACGCAGTGTCCATTATTCCCGACTTCAGTATGCGGAAGTTATTGGTAAGTAAGACAGTCGAGACCCGAGTATTATCTACGAACACTAGTTCTCCATGGACTGGGGCTTTAACTTCGGAGTCGGCAATCCTCGCCACAAAGCGAGGACGATAGTTTGGCTAGTGCTAGTTCGATTAGTTACATGGTTCGTACTACGGCTTATGGTTAACGTCGAACGCTTAAAGCCAAATGCTCGCTGATCGTCCACCCGCTGCATATGTATGCGTTCCGCAGTATCTCGCAAACGACCCCATGATCTGTTCGAGTCTTTCGAAACTCTCCCAATAATATTGCTCGTATTGGAGCAGCACACCGCAAAAGACTGATCTCGTATTTCTTGACTGGTTTGTTTATTAGCAAGGTTGAGAGAAAAAAATATCATAAAAGAGAAAATATACATATTCTAGTGACTTGTCGGGATTTTTATTATTTATTGTACATAAATGAAGGACTCTAAATACCATGATTTCAGATTTAATTACGAAAATATTTATTACTGATAATTACAAGAATAATTACAAGATGTGATATTCTGCAATGTTGTGCAGATTGGAAAATACGACGGTCGGAATGAAAAAGAATCATTTATTTCGTATAATAGCCGGCTTGCTATGAGGAATAATGAACCGTGTAAACCAGGAAGTCGCAGATAATAGCTGAAATAATTCGGTTTATTTTCGACGAAACGAGAAATGATTTGACACGCGAATTTATTCGCTGTCAGAAATTAAAGCGGACGTAGCTTAATTTTTCTCATCCTCTTGTGCCTCCAGCTGAAGCTCGCCTTTAACAGGGCGCGAGACAAAAATTTCAGCAAGCTCGTTTTTCATCCACGGCTGCGCTGGCCGGCTGCGGCTTTTCTTTTGCTGTAGCTCGGCACGTAACAAACGATTCGTGGTGTGTCGACTTTCAGAGAAATTTTCCTCTTATTACCATTGCACCATTGTATATTTAACACCGGCATAGTACGGCTTCTAATACACAACGAAAGAGGGTAATATTCAACTTAACAGCTAACGAAATCGATTGTGCAATTGTATTAAAGAGAATAATTAAAGCAGATTGTAATTTTCAAATCAATTTGTAATTTTCTCTTTTTTAACATAATTATAAGACTGATTGTGACTATACTGAAAATTTCCCGATAAACTAATTATTGTTATTACGTAATACTTTGTATTATAGAACTGTATGTCGCTTAATTCAAAAGATTAAAACTTGAAGATAAAAGGGATAACAAATTAACTTTTTTTTTTAATTTTTAATTTGTATATATACAGGGTGTCCTATTTTAATGTCCCATCTTTAATAACTTTGTAGAAGTTGGTTTTAGCAAAAAATGTTTCAGACAAAAGTTGTTGGGTTTGGAGGGGGACATTTAATGATGACATTGGTTTAACTTAGGGTGTACATGCCAAGGTCATATGGAGGTCAACTTTGTTTTTTTAAATGGAATACCCTATTTTTTATTCCAAAATCTAATAGCTGGTGTCAAGAGCTTTTCAAAACACTATAATGAAGTTATTTTTCATTAAATACTTTTCGAGTTATGAGGTTTGAAAGTTACATTTTGACATAAAATACAAAATATCTTGTAAAACATTCAATTTTCGGGAATCTTACATTAATACTTTTATGCACAAAATAATGAGACGAATCAATTGGTATAAAGAAAACACATTGGTTTTAAAAAAAGTATGCAGTTGCATGTTGCAAATTACATATTTTTTCTTGAAAGTAATTAAGGGTGGGACATTAAAATGGAACACCCTGTATATGTACACTTTTACACTATACTTTAAATGTGTATATGTGTGTGCAATATCGACTTTTATCACCAATTGACATTACTAATCCGCATCATTAATGGAGCATTAATTATCAATAATCGAAAAAGAGTCAAAAGATTAAATTTAAAAAATCTAGACTTTAATATTATCTCATTATGTCTATCTCATTATGTCTATTAAATTTTGTCGAGTAACCTAATCTTTGTATCTTTCTCACCAATAGATCCTCATTTACTTTAATCATATCTGTTACAGGTGCCACATGAGAACACTGTCCAACATCCACCGTTAGCACCATTGAGCACTAGAGGCACCCCGAATAGTCTAGGGCTAAGATTAGAGACTGAATCGCGGCACTTTGAAGGAAGCGGCGAAACAGTTATCATCAAATGTGTCGCCCAAGTAGGCTCGAGGGACTACTCGACCGAGCGCAAGGTGCAAATGGAACATGTGAACAACCAGAGGCTCAGCGCCGGCAATCTGAACTCAGCTGTTCGCAGGACCCGCGCCGGCCGCCTCATCCCGCTGCTGACGATGATTCTCGCACTCATCTCGCTCACGACGTGATCTGCCGGTCTTCTCGCGTGAGTCGATCTTTTCGAACGAGAATTAACGCGCACTTCAGGAATGCGCGGCAGATTCAGTGTCAGTTGTCCGATCCTTACGTATAAAGTTAGGTTTAGCGATTAAGCGACGATACCCGATTAGCGATCCAATCGATCTGCTCGTTCTCGATCTAACCACGCTTTCGCATTCAGCGACGATACGACATCGTCATTGTTCATCAACAAGTTGGAAAGATATATGGGAAATAAAAATCTCGTTGAGATCAGAAGACGATCGCGATAATGGCGATGAGAGAATAACTTTTTATTGATAGCATTCTATTAATTATTTACAGATAGTTTTCGAATATTAGCTTTATTTTTTTTTTTATTCGATTATTATATTTGATTTATCAATAAAAGTTGAGAAATCATTTACAGTCGATGTATCGCGACGATAGTTTTATAAACAAGTAGTAATTATATGAATACACCTCGTATATTTTAAACGACTTTATAAATCAGTATTCTCCGTTAGATGAATACTTAATCGAAAGTTTCCCCGTAATTTTCGCAGCGACTTTCCTCCCTCTCTTCGGTTTCTTCTTATCATATTTAACTCCCAATCCTTTTAACGAGTTCCAGATCTAGGATACTCTTTAAAGTTCCCTTCGATTGCGGCTCGCAGCCGTCATTAACTTTTCATTCAAGTTTTAAGATTTTACTGCTAATAGCAAATGTCACGAGCCAGATAGTGCGAGTGCAAAGTTATCGAATAATAATAACGATCAGCGATATCTTGACAATTTAAGTTTCCAAATTTGCGACTTTCGCTATAACATATTCTCTCAAATGTTTTCGGTATTTCAATAAAATCTAATATGAATTTGAAAAGCCACGCTTAATCTTTTTGACTGTTATGACAATCTTCGCAAGTCCATTCCGTTTTATACTCCAACAATTACTGCTGTGGATTTTAGACAGAAATAGCTGCACTTTATACGGCATGCACACGTCATATCGCGGGGATATAAATTCCGTTGCAGCGCGTGCAAATTCCGTTTTACGAAACGCGCGAGATTAACTACTGGAACGCACATAAGTCGCCGCGACGCTGCAAAACGCGCTTGCAAATTATGTATAAATCGATCAATGAATTAACTGTACCGGCACCAACAAAACGAGATTAATAATTCGGATATCTCACGTTGCAAAATTGCAAGCGCGCGGTTGCAGTTATGAGTACGAATTATTTTATTAAAAGAGAGAGAGATTCTCTTACAGGCTCACGTAAAACTTTAAAATCGCGATTATTTCAACAAAAACAGTTTGTACAACGTTGGTACGACGTGAATAATGACTCAATTGTATTGAAAATTTAATCGAAACTCCGCGATAGATTTAGTCTGTTGTAACAAAAACATATATAACGGCGGATTTGAGATTAATATAGAGATCAATATTTTATTGCTAGCGCGAAGTTTGTTCGGCGAATATTGCTAATTAATAATTCAATGCAATTTTTTCAGAGCTTTTTTCCATATTTAATCGACCACCCAGCATGATGTATATTATTCTCTCTGCAAATGAAGAGTTATTCTTTTAATTCGCTCAATTATTATTTCGGAGAATTTTTTAACACGTAAAACTGGATGAAATTTTCCATTAACGTACAATTCGGCAAAATATTTGGCGATCTCTAAATGTATCACGATTATCCAACGGATTTTTACTTCAACGGGTGTAGTCTGACTATTGCAGTTTCATGTGTTTCGGCGCTGATGACAAAAAGTGTTTGGTCGCGAGAAGCGAGCACGCGCGTACGAGTGCGAAGAAAGGAAAAATCTTGAGAGAGGATTTTGCAAGAAATGGTCTATTCGACCGCACTTTGGAGAAGACGCTATAAAAGGCAGGAAGGCAAGAGAATGCGAATGAGAGAGCAAATGCGAGAAAGTGAAACAAAGTTCGCGCAGCTGCGGAGAAGCAAAGAAAAAAGAAAGCGAAACGAGCGGGAACATTGTGTGTGACCGAAGTGGAGATACGAAGTTTGACTTCAAGAATGAAAGTAGGTGTGATATTATAGTATTTAAGATTGTGACTCGCGCGCGCGGGTCGTCCAAAGTAGCCATCTTCTAAATCTATTTTTTCTAAATCTATTTTTTTTTAATCATAAAAGTATGATTTTTTTATCGTTGAATAATTAATTTTCTTGAAATGCATCATAATTATGCAAATTTGCAGACAAGATCTTTTTAATAATACTTACATTTATGCTGTCGGCTCATTTAGAGTTTCGCACAAACTTGAATCGCAAGATGAATGCAGCAGTATAAGCATTTAATTTTATTCAAATTGTTGAATCAATTTTGTTGAACGCCTATTTATGCTTGTACAAACGTAGAGTCGCGAATTATCGAAGACGGCTAACTTTTGAAGAAAGCGAGTGACTAATGAAAATAGATGGAAATTGAAGTGTGCTCTATATGCAAATAAAAATATAAGAATAAACGCGACTGGCCTCGCCGCACATATCACATCATCGACACACACGGCAACACATGCTTACACACGTAACACATCGCACATCTACGTGCGCGCGTACGCACGTACGTCTGGATTAAGAGATGGAAGGTGAAACCAACCCCCGCAGGGTGTGCAGGATACACATATATCACGAGACGGTTTCCTTTTGATCGCTATCGCTCATCGACCCGAGCGTTATTTATCGGCCGGAATAATTTACGAGTTCGCGAGAGAGAGAGATTCGCTCTGTAGCGCGCATAAATGCCGCTTCCGACAGCGATATTCAGGTACGAACCTTTGTGCCTGTATGCGTAACATTCATGTGGATCCATCCGCGGAAAATTCTGGCGCATATTTGCGAGCCTGTGAAAGTGCCAAGAACACTTTTCTCGCGTATCGCTTTCCCGATCGGACGTATTTATGCGCGCGGCGAGAGACTCGTCGGAAATCATAAACAGAAATTTTTCGTATATCTACCATTATTAGATTTAAGAATTTATTAGATATTAAAATCTAGTCCTTTTCAATCGAGTCTTGTAAAGTGTCAGAATAAACTATTATACCAAAACCGCTGGATGAGGCAAGTAAGAACCGAGATACGTTTTTGTGATTTTAAATATGTGAGCATGCATCTTTTTGAAACACATATACGCACACCTCCTTTGGAAGATGTTTCTTCTATTCCATTACATATAATCAATAAATACTTCCGTTTTATATGTCTACAAAATTTGAGTAAAGTTTGCGTACATCTGATTCTCTCAGATGAAGGAAATAAAGAACGGATTTCGATCGAGCTTGCATGACGCTTCGTTAATGATAAATCGTCGAAACGGTTCAAGTTTCCAATAAAGCAATTCGCTTTGAAACGTTTGGATAAACGCATCTCGATTAAATCATTATTTGATAATTTATAACTATTATCGTATTTATCCAATCATTATTTTTTGCAATTTCGACACATCAGAGAATATTTGTTAATTCAGCAAAGTTAATTTCTCCAATTAAGTTAATTTCTCCAAATAATTGCAATTTGTGCAATCATGCATTATTTTACATTTTACACAATTTATACATATGAGAGCAAATATTAAGTGTTATTATCGCGAGACTCATTTTCCTAATTAAATAATTTAATGAAATATTATTTTCTTTTCTGCAAAATATTAACATTATTCTGTTCTATTTACGGAAAAAAGAGATTACATGTGCAAATAATTCGAGTGTAATAAGCCCAAGATGGTATCCGAATTGCGTCAGCAGAATTATGTGATATTACTTTAAACCAATATCTACCGATCACGACCATAAGTTACATCACCGAAAGTTCCTATATTTGCTTAACGTTATTGGTGTCGCGAAACGCAGCTGGTCCCAGATGAACGCCTAAATCGACAGTGGTAAGAATTTTCTTCGCTGCGGCCCCGATCGATCAATATCCCAATTTTACGGCCCATCGAATCGCGAAAGCCAGGGACAGGATCTTCTTTTGGTGCCGGCTAAATTCTTCGTATGTTCTTCAGAAAGAGTTAAATGAATTCCCGGCGAAAACTTAGAACGCAGCGAACGATTTCCGTCTCAACAGAAAAAACCATTCTCTTCAAAATTTTTGTACGAAAATTTTTGTATTTACGAGCTAAAACTTAATCAAATTTATTCATTTACTTTGATACAGACAACAATATCAAAATTTCTTTAAAAAATTATATTAATTCTAATTAGGACGTTAATTCAGAAATTTATTTGAAAAAAAATAAAGACGTAATAACAAATTCATTTTTCTAAAACGTAATCAAAAAAACTTTAGACATAGAAAATGAAAAGCCGAAAGATTATCTGCAGAAGTATTTTGATAGAGAGCAGGTCGATATTTCAATTTTACAGTCTGTCGAGCACCAAAATTCAGAGTCGCGCGAGTCTTCAACTGGAGAATGTCCTCGAGATCCCGCTTGGATCCCGCAAATTTGTGTCTCGTCGGAATCCTTCACTGGATTTCTTGAGAAAACTCTTTTACCGCTCACCGCGCGTTCCTGAATCGACTTTTACGAATGGAATAAAACTCAAAACAATATTTCCTAGAAAATTTACGATCCACTTCCATTTCTTTTATTTGTCGACAATTAAATATGAACTCATGCAAAATTCATATCTCGAATGCGGGAAAACCATCTCTCAGGATTCACTTCAACATTGTTCGATTTCCCATATCTCTTGATTTCTTTTTTTGGTATAAAAGATAAAAAAGATGTGCGTAGCTAAACTCCACTTGTTTTAATCATGAAATAATTTTAAAAGAATTGAAATCTTTGCCATCCAAGGAAACACTGCCACGACAATTATTCGGTCATATGTTAAAAGAATATTGAAAAAGATATTTTGTAAGATTTTTAAAATGACTTTAAATCCTTGTATCTTAAGGGGATGCTGGAGTTACCGGCCGAACATTATATTTTTTCGAACAAGAATATCTTTTTATTGGTTGCATAGAATTGTAAATCCTTTTGCAGGAGTAAAGTGTACACAAAAACGGAATTCAGGCTGCTTGACTTTATTTGAAAAAAAAAAGAATTAATAACAAAATTTGTTTTTATTCATTAATTTATGTTCTGCTCTTAGGATAACATATTGTATAGAGCTATCTATTTTCGTTTTTTATAAAAGTTTAACAGTTTTAAGACGCTGAATAAGAGCAGCCCGAATTGCGGACTGCAGAATAGAATGTTATGGAACCATTAAAATTGGGCTGAAAAGTCTAATGTAAAAAATATTCTTGTCCGACTATTTTTACATACGTGTGCGTCCAATATCGGTATAACAAATGAAAAAATAACAGAAGATTAGTTCCAAGATAATATCAGAGAGGCGCTATACAATAATATGCGAATATATACACGCACCACACATACGCATACACAATACATTCATACTTAGATTATGACTTATGCCGATAATATCACTCTAATTTTTAGTTCCATCGAAATGATGGCGCTTTCGCGTCGGAGTTCGTCAGGCACTCCAGCATCCTC